CCAACGACCATTTTCTGATTCTATTTTTCTATTTAATTAAGTTTTGATGAAAAATCAAAAACACAATTATAGAATTCGAAAATACAACTTACATTCAATCAGTTTTGAGAAAAGAATTCTGAGCAAGGCAACAAAGATATTTTACACCTTCTGAGAAAACCCTCTTCTCTACTGTCTTCTGTGCTTTCATTACTAATCACACTTGTTCTTGGAGATTGACATTCTACAAGCTTCTACAATTTGTTGTCTCCATTACCCAGGTGTGTTTGTTCTTATTTTTATTACCTTCATCCTTTATGTATTGGTGAAAAGGAGGTGTTTTTCATCCCTAGTGTGATTCTAGGGAGGTGTTCATCCTTAGTGGGATTAAGGAGGTGTTTTCATCCTTTGATTTGTTCAAAGGAGGTGTCCATCCCTAGTGGGATTTTAGGGAGGTGTTCATCCTTAGTGGGTTTCTAAGGAGGTGATTGTCTTTTTAATTAGTTTACTTTTTACTCGTTCTTCTGCTGAGTTGATTGTAATTTGTAAACTGAATTTGAAAGATAGTGAATGGGGAGTTACTCTTGTGTTAAGAGTTGACTGGGAACTTGATGTAGGGTTGGTTATACTCGAACCAGTATAAATATTTGTGTGCTCTTCTCTTTTCCTTATCTCTTTCTCTTTTCCTGATTATATTATTGTTTCCGCTTTATCTGTGTTCAAACAAATTATTGACTCACAAATAAATTTTTAATTTGACATCTATTTTAATTTATGCATCTATTCACCACCCTCTAGATGTCATTTGTCTAACAAGTGGTATCAGAGCTTGGTTAGATAAGATATTTCTAAACGATCTGTCAAGATGTCTATGCAGAATCAGGTTTCCAGGGAAGGAGCCTCAATAAACAGACCACCATTATTTGAAGGAGAAGACTATCAGTTTTGGAAAGCGAGAATGGAAATATTTTTACAAACACTAGATTATGGTGTTTGGGACGCTGTACTCAATGGTCCCTACATTCCGATGAGAACAACGAAGTCTAAAGAAAGTTTAATGCACTTAGGCAAAAGTTTAATGCATTAGAAAATACTGTTGGTATTCTTGAAAAAGAAAATGAGTACTTAAAGAAAGATGTTGAGAAATCTAAAACTTTCTCTAAAAATAAAGAAGTTGTTAAACCTTGTGAAAATTGTAATCTTTTGGAAAATGAGATTTTCAAGTTAGAGAATATAATAAGCAATTTTTCAAAATCTTCTGAAAATCTTGATTCGATATTAGGTTATCAAAAAGGAAATTCTAGCAAATCTGGACTTGGTTACAAACCCAAAGAAAATCTAGAACCTCATAAAACTATTTTTGTGAAAGTGTAAAGGAAAACAGATGTGAAACCAGTTTCAAAAACTTTAAGAAACGCATTTAGACCTTTTTAAAGAAAACCAACATGTTTTTATTGCATGAAATTAGGTCATACACCAAATAGATGTTACATAAAACATCTTGGCATATCTAATGGCAAAAGTGAATGGGTGCCTAAAGGAACAAAACATTTATACATGTCTAAATGATAATTTGAGCATCAAATTGATTAGCAGAATCAAATTTTTTTTTCTTGTTGTCATAATCAATTATGTTGAAAGTTTGAATTTTGAAAGTTTGAATTTATGAAAATTTGAAATTATTAAAGTTTGAAATTTTGCAGTTTGAGATTTTTTTAAAAATTTACAGTATGAGTTTTTTGAAATTTGAAATTTTGCAATTAGAGATTTTTGAAATTTGAAATTTTGTTGTTTGAGATTTTGAAATTTGAAATTTTTGCAGTTTGAGGGTTTTGAAATTGAATTGGAATTGGAATTTGAAATTTGAAGTTGAAATTTGAGATTAGAAATTTGAATTTGAAATTTGGAATTTGTTGTAATTTAAATTTGAAATTTGAAATTTGTTGCAATTTGAATTTTGAAATCTGGAATATGAGTGCATTTGAATTTGAAAGCTGCCTAAATAAGAAGACTGCAATTGAGGGAAACTACTGCATTTCATTCCATTATCTCTATAATCATTTTATTCCCCTATCTTTCTCTCTCTTCATTTGTCTTGGGTATCCTAGATATTGTCTCCTTAATATGATATTCTTCTCTATGACACTTTGTAATGCATTATCTTCTCTATCTTGATTTTTGTACTAATATGTGCAAATTTGTTCTCAATTTCTATTACAATATTTTTCATAATTATCAAAGAAACAAGGAGATATTTTGATTATATTAATCTGTATGAAACAGGGGGAGATTTTTTTCTCTTATAATATTTTTTATGATTATCAATGAAACAGGCGGAGATGTTTTGATGACATAAAATCTATGTGAAATTCTTTCCTATCTCTAAATCAAACAAGGGGAGTTAAGAGAAGTCTTTGCTCATATGAGTTATGGGGAGTCTTGTTATTAATATTTCCAGGGGGAGATTAAGAGACTTTGACACTTGATACAAATCTGTGCTAATCTTGAGTTGGCTATATAGAGTCAAGCATTTTAATTCATTTCAGGTGTTTCCTTGATCATTATCAAAAAGGGGGAGATCGAAAGCAATGAGGGGGAGATTGATGGAAATGTTCCTACATTCCCAAGAGATGATTTTGATTATGATTCAAGTCAACTACATTCAAGTCAACACCATTCAAGATGAATTAAGGACAAGCTGGATTTATGACGTTGGTGAAAATGTGAAACATTTCCCTACATGCCCAAGATATCTTTTTGATAAAGATGATGATTCAAGCAAGCCCAAGATGATTCCTGAAGACTAGATAGAGTCTTAGAATGCTGGATATGGAGGTACAAGTTGATGAAGTAATATTATGCATAAGTCTCCAAAGCAAAAGTGTGATAAAATTCATAACATGATATTTTTCACTCTCATAATTAATTATGATGCATCAGAAATGGAAAAATGATTTTCTCTATCATAATTGATTATACTGGTTGTTGAAAGTCCCACATTGCTTACCTCATATCATTTGGTATGGTTTAAATACATGTTAGGCTACTTCACATATTGCCAATTGGTTTTATGTTGGAACCTTAACATGGTATCAGAGTCAAAGCCTAACATCTTTCCGGTTATTATCATGGGCCAAAAGTTGCCCTTTAGTTGGGTCAAAAGTACCCTTTGCCTGGTCTGGTAGGCTTCGTTGGAGGGGGTGTGTTGAAAGTCCCACATCGCCTACCTCATATCATTTGGTATGGTTTAAATACATGTTAGGCTACTCCACATATTGTCAATTGGTTTTATGTTCGAACCTTAACACTGGTAATATAATCAATTATGACAATTCAAATTTAAAAAATATATCCGTTTTAAAGAATAAATGTTTTTGAATACATCCTGATTTTCTCTATGATATTATTAATGTCCAACGGCCATTTTCTGTTGCTATTTTTCTATTTAATTAAGTTTTGATGAAAAATAAAAAACACACAATTATAGAATTCGAAAATACAATTTACATTCAATCAGTTTTGAGAAAAGAATTCTAAGCAAGGCAACAAAGATATTTTACACCTTCTGAGAAAACCCTCTTCTCTACTGTCTTCTGTGCTTTCATTGTTAATCACACTTGTTCTTGGAGATTGGCATTCTACAGGCTTCTAGAATTTGTTGTCTCCATAACCCATGTGTGTCTGTTCTTATTTTTATTACCTTCATCCTTTTTGTATTGGTGAAAAGGAGGTGTTTTTCATCCCTAGTGTGATTCTAGGGAGGTGTTCATCCTTAGTGGGTTTCTAAGGAGGTGATTGTCTTTTTAGTTAGTTTACTTTTTACTGGTTCTTCTGCTGAGTTGATTGTAATTTGTAAACTGAATTTGAAAGATAGTGAATGGGGAGTCACTCTTATGTTAAGAGTTGACTGGGAACTGGATGTAGGATTGGCTATACTCGAACCAGTATAAATCTCTGTGTGCTCTTCTCTTTCCTTTTTCCTGATTATATTATTGTTTCCGCTTTAATTGTGTTCAAACAAATTATTGACTCACAAATAAATTTTTAATTTGACATCTATTTTAATTTGTGCATCTATACACCCCCCTCTAGATGTCATTTGTCTAACATGTTTTTCATCCTTTGACTTGTTCAGAGGAGGTGTTCATCCCTAGTGAGATTCTAGGGAGGTGTTCATCCTTAGTGGATTTCTAAGGAGGTGATTGTCTTTTTAATTAATTTACTTTTTACTAGTTCTTCTGCTGAGTTGATTGTAATTTGTAAACTGAATTTGAAAGATAGTGAATGGGGAGTCACTCTTGTGTTAAGAGTTGACTGGGAACTGGATGTGGGATTGACTATACCCGAACCAGTATAAATCTCTGTGTGCTCTTCTCTTTCCCTCATCTCTTTCTCTTTTCCTGATTATATTATTGTTTCCGCTTTAATTGTGTTCAAACAAATTATTGACTCACAAATAAATTTTTAATTTGACATCTATGTTAATTTGTGCATCTATTCACCCCCCTCTAGATGTCATTTGTCTAACATGTTTTTCATCCTTTGATTTGTTCAGAGGAGGTGTTCATCCCTAGTGAGATTCTAGGGAAGTGTTCATCCTTAGTGGGTTTCTAAGGAGGTGATTATCTTTTGAATTAGTTTAGTTTTTACTAGTTCTTCTGCTGAGTTGATTGTAATTTGTAAACTGAATTTGAAAGATAGTGAATTGGGAGTCACTCTTGTGTTAAGAGTTGACTGGAAACTGGATGTAGGATTGGCTATACGCAAACCAGTATAAATCTTTGTGTGCTCTTCTTTTTCCCTTATCTCTTTCTCTTTTCCTGATTATATTATTGCTTCCGCTTTATCTGTGTTCAAACAAATTATTGACTCACAAATAAATTTTTAATTTGACATCTATTTTAATTTGTGCATCTATTCACCCCCCTCTAGAAGCCATTTGTCTAACATCACCCTTTTACCTTGAAGGTCCTGATGGATATTTTGAGTTTGTAGAGGAAAGGCTGAAAGAAAACGGCCACATGGTTATTGTGATTGCTGAAGGGGCAGGACAGGAACTGGTTTCTGAGAGTATCCAATCCATGCACAAGCAGGATGCTTCTGCAACAAACTTCTTCAAGATGTTGGGCTTTGGATATCCCAAAAGATAAAGGTGTGGATTGTTATTTATGCTGGATATCTCAAATGTGACTTTTGACGGTGTTATCCTATTCATTGTTCTTTATTTCAGATTTTGGTTAAGCTTAGGTTGCATGTTTGAAACAAAGTTCAGTGTCCACTTGATGGATTTAAAATGTTGTCCATCGTTTTTGGTTTTCAATTGATGATTTCTTTATAAATCCTTGGAAATTTTGTTCTAAAGAAGCATTCCCATTTGTACTTGGTTTATTCGAATCTAAAAAACTGACCGGCTTAAAGGATCTCGTGGAGGACACATGATAGCTGATGGATATGTAGGGTGACAAAATATGCTTAATTATTTTCTAATTGAAGAAATTATTTATGAAGAAGTTCTCAATCGCTTAGGTTAAGTACGTTGAATCTTTGATCTTGCAGGAGTATTTTACCAAGCAAAAGACAATGAACATAAATCTCAAATATATAGGTTTGTAAACATAAAAACTAAATAACTATGTGTATGTGTATATGTGTACATGTTCTGAACGAAAATAGGTATATTATTATGTTGAATGCTTTCAACATGCCTCTTATATATGTGTACATGTTGATTGCGCAATCATGTGGTGTGTTTCAGTTGAGGAAGTCGAGTGGGGTTATGTTTATATGGAAAGTTGAACTTTTGAAACCAAGGAATGGAGTGGGGTCTCTGCTTCCGTGGAAAGTTGAACTCTTGCCAATATGGAGAAGACAACGAAAACTTGCCATGGCCCAATGAAGTTCTTTGCAGAGGTTTGTGCCCTCTTTTCAACAAGACACAATTTTTCCACTACTATCATTCATTCTTTGACTTTCTTATGCAATTGTATAATAGTATCTCATCACTTTTAATTCACCAATTAATCAACCTCTCATATAGTTTCACTAGGAGTAGTGTGTTTAGATACACGTTAAACGTAAATTTCTTGTGCAATTAAGGATTCATTTTTATGTGATTTTACACTAAACATACAATATAATCACCAACAAGATAGGAAAAAACCAGTGAGAAACAAATGCAGTACCATTATTTTTGAAACTTACTAACTCTTTTATAAATATTTATGAAAAGATTTTACCTAAATGTTTCTAAAGTCAACCTAGTTATAGGGTTTTAATAGTTTATATAATCTTCTTGTTATCGTAAAGTAAATTATACTTTACTTTCCTTTTGTAATTATATACATATTACTCCAAATATGTTAGTGTGATATGTGGACTATGTTGATTTGATTTGTACATGGACAAGGTTTTGACTTGCACTATAATGTCTTGATTGTTAAGGACGCTGGTCCTAAGGCTTATGTTAGTTTTCTGCTGTTAAAAACATCCCTCATAGTTTAAAAATTTACATGTCATTCCCATACCCTAAAAGAAAGACCGTGTACTTGTGACAAGTATACCTGCTCATCTAAACTTTTGTATTTATTTGTGCTATTTTTTTATTATACAGACTATTTTGCTTACTGGCTGCAACTTCAAAACTTCTTCAAAACTTCACTAACAGTTTTTACGTGACTTTTTCATCTTATTATGATTATTTATGGGATTGTTATTTATACAGATTCTAATTATTATTCATTTCTTTTTAATACAGTTGCCAAGTTCGTGCGGGTTGTAAAGATCTTCAAGCATCTTTAGTATTTCAACTTCTTGTGTTTCTAATTGTAATTTTTCTACTATTGTCAATATAGTTTTCTATATTTTTATGTGTTTCAACTTCTTGTGTTTCTAATTGTAGTTTTGCTACTATTGTCAATACAGTTTTCCATATTTTTATATTGAAATTAAATGTGGTTGATGGTTTTATTTTGATGAATCGGTTATTGAAATCAATGAAAGTGTGGTCGAGTAACTATTTTGGATATTCTTTTCGTTAGTAACTAATTTTAGTTAGTGACTGATTTTAGTTACTTACTAACCAAATTTTTAGTCATTATTTACGTTTTTTTAGTGAAATCGGTCACTGAATCGGTCACTAAATCGGTCACTGATTCGGTCACTGAATTGGTCACTGATTCGGTCACTGATTCGGTCACTAATTCGGTCACTGAATCGGTCACTGAATTGGTCACAGATTCGGTCACTGAATTGGTCACTGAAATCAGCGACCAAGGAAAGAGTGACCGATTTGAGTTGGTTACTATTCGGTTACTATTTTATTTAGGGACCAATTTTGATCATTTAGTGACCGAAAATTCGGTCACTATTTGATGTTTTTGTTGTAGTGTCAATCAGTTTTGAGAAAATAATTATGAGCAAGGCAACTAAGATATTTTACACCTTCTGAGAAAACCCTCTTCTCTATTATCTTATGTGCTTTCATTGTTAATCACACTTGTTCTTGGAGATTGACATTCTACAGGCTTCTACAATTTGTTGTCTCCATTACCTAGGTGTGACTGTTCTTATTTTTATTACCTTCATCCTTTGTGTATTGGTGGCAAAAGAGGTACTTTTCATCCCTAGTGTGATTCTAGGGAGGTGTTCACCCTTAGTGAGATTCTAAGGAGGTGTTTTCATCCTTTTATTTGTTCAAAGGAGGTTTTCATCCCTAGTGTGATTCTAGGGGGGGTGTTCATCCTTAGTGGGATTCTAAGAAGGTGTTTTTCATCCTTTGATTTGTTCAGAGGAGGTGTTCATCCCTAGTGGGATTCTAGGGAGGTGTTCATCCTTAGTGGGTTTCTAAGGAGGTGATTGTCTTTTTAATTAGTTTACTTTTTACTGGTTCTTCTGCTGAGTTGATTGTAATTTGTAAACTGAATTTGAAAGATAGTGAATTGGGAGTCACTCTTGTGTTAAGATTTGACTGGGAATTGGATGTAGGGTTGGCTATACCCGAACCAGTATAAATCTTTGTCTGCTCTTCTCTTTCCCTTATCTCTTTCTCTTTTCCTGATTATATTATCGCTTCTGCTTTATCTATATTCAAACAAATTATTGACTCACAAATAATTTTTTAATTTGACATCTATTTTAATTTGTGCATTTGTTCACCCCCTCTACATGTCATTTGAGATGTCATTTCTCTAACAACTTCTTCCATTTTTATCCGTCTAAATTTTATATTTAAATTTAAATTTTAAAATATTAAAATTTTAAAAATATTTGTTTTCCTTTCTCATACTATATATATAAAATAATTTTTCTTTAGTCTATACTTTCACCTTTATCATATCCCCTCTTTATTCTTTTATCTTTTTTAATTTCTTTAATTAGTAAATTCAATATATGACTTTTTTCTCATATTTTCTTAATTTCTTTAATTAGTTTAATTTTTTCAAATTTTTTAACCAATTTAACAAACATAATAATATTTTTTTCCTTTTTATCTTTTTCTAAATCTTTTTTATCATATTTATTAATCTTAATAATAATTAATATTATTTTATTTTAATTTTGTTATGTTATATTTTTTAATTTTATTATTCTTATTTATTATAGATAAATTTTATCTTAATTAAACAATCGAAAGAAAAATAATCAAATATTTTTTTTCATGCATATTTTCTATAAATATAATAAATTAAAATATATATTCTTATAAAATTATAAATATTTATTTATATATAAAAATTAGTATATAAAAAATAAAAAATTAATTTATTATAAGTGTAATTATTTTTAAAAAATTTAATATAAAATAAGGTCGAAGAAATTTAAAACTCATAAATAATAAAAATGAAAACTTAATTTTTAAGTTTTCATGTGGATTGTTGAATATAGAAGAAATAGAGTTTGAGATTAATCTTCCTTGTGTATAAATCATATATAGGGTAGTCTATTTATAATAGAGAGATACAACTATAAAAGTTGTTAGAAAAGAAGGTCTGAGATCAAGAGGGGGGTGAATTGATCTTTAAAAGATTTTCGCAATTAACAGATTATCTATTTGTAAAAATAAGATTTCGAGATCTGTTCTTGAATCACAAAGCAATCAATCAACAATAATTAAAAGAGGAGAAAGGTTTAGAAAGATATCACCGGTGTTTATACTTGGTTCACCCAATACCAGGGCTACGTCCGAGTCTCAACCAAATTCCAGCTGGGTTCCACTAGATCAAATGTTTTACAGATTACAATCTTACACTTAATCTACCACAAGAACCACAATTCCAGTTCCTGCACCTAACCTTTCACCAAGAACCAAATTCCGAGTTCTTGACAACCTCTACAACCAAATTCCAGTCTGCGAGAGAAACCGAGTGCCCACAATTCCAGGCACCAAACAATACGAGTAAAAGAATGAAAAGAAATGAAAAGAAGAAACTAGAATGCTCAAACCAGTTTTATGCAATTCTGTAGTAAGTTGTTTCTTCTCAAAAGAATGCAGTTTTGCCTCAAGAAAGATTACTTTTGAACTTCACAAAAACTAGCGTGAATCTTTCTTGAAAGAAGTACTTTTGATTGCTTGAATGATTGCAAAAGGATGTGTATCAGATATCTTTTAAAATGATCAAGCAACTCTATTTTTATAGAAGATTTTCAAAACTGCTGGTTTAATCAATCTGTTAAAATAATCTTTTAATCTGTTAAAAGTGTAGTTTTAATCTGTTAAAACTTCTTTTAATCCATTAAAACGTTCTTGATTCTTTAACATATTTGTTTTAAGCTGATACGACAACGTTTATATCAATTAAAACTCTTTACAAAAAATCTTCTAATTTGTTTTAATTGATTATTTCGTGATTCAATCGATTAATATACTGCAAAACTTTCTTGTAAAATTTTCCAAGTGATTTTAACTGATAAAAATAAGTTTTAATCGATTAAAACGCTGTGTAGAAATTTTCTAAGTTGTTTTAATCGATTGAAACGTGTTTTAATCGATTGGAAAAACTCTGATCGGTCATAGCTCAATTTTGATCGATCATATCTGATTCTGATCGGTCATAATTGCATTCTGATCGATCATCCTGAACACTAAGTGGATTTAATCGATTAAAACCAAGTTGTATCGATTAAAATACTGCAAAAACACTTCTCTTAATATTTTAAGTGATTTTAATCGGTTATTTCGAAGCTTTATCAGTTAAAACACTGACAAAAGGTTTTCAAAACTTTCTTTAATGAAAACAACCGGTTATTTCAAAATTATATCGGTTAAAAACTTGTTTAAGAAAGCTTTTGTTAAAATACTTTGTTTTTAACTCGCTTAAACGTTTTTAGAGGCATTTCGCAAAATCTTTTAAGTGAAGAAACCTCATGCAACAGAAAAGATAAAAATGATTATACCTAAGCAGAGCTGCAGACACACTAATCCCTCTATTCTTTTATCTAAGTGACTGTTGACCGCTACAAAGTTGACTTTGACTTTATCTTAGACTTGATCAAATCAATAAGATCTTTGCCAGAGTATTTCAATAAGATCTTCATCACTTTCAAAAGTAATTGAAAGTAACATAATAAACAAAAGATATTGTTTGATATTGTGGTTAACAATATCTTAACAATATCAAATAATATCTAAACAATATCTAACACTCCCCCTCAAGCTGGAGCATACAAATCGTATGTGTCAAACTTGTTACAAATATAATCAATTCTAGACCCCCGTAAAGATTTAGTAAAAATATCTGCTAACTGATCACTTGAGTTAACAAACTCAGTCTTGATGTCTCCAGACATAATCTTTTCTCGAATGAAATGACAGTCAATCTCAATGTGTTTGGTCCTCTCATGAAAAATAGGATTATAACTAATATGAAGAGCAGCCTGATTGTCACACACAAGTGTCAT